TCCCTTAGGACCAACCATAGGTAGTACAAGAAAATTAACCTATTGTCTATCGAGCACGCCTTTCGCCCTGATCTCAGTTCCGGACTCACCCTCCATGGACAGTACCTCTAGTTTAAGACGTTCCATTTGACAAGTCAAAGCTAATTAGTATTGTTTGTCCGCATATGACCTATGCTAGAATACTCTTTTACAATTTTCAAAATTCTATAAAGTTTTTCACAACATTTACCAGTCCGAATGTATGTAGAGAAATCATATGCAAAGTCATTGCATTCAAACTTGTAAAGCTATTGGATGGAAAAGCTTCAGGGTCTACTATCTCGAGGTTTTAAGTTCAAATCTCGCAAAGAGCCCTAGTTTCCCTTATGCACATAGTTTGCTGGAGATGGTGTGCATCCAAACTTGTGTTGCAACTACGAGTTCACAGGACTGATGGTTCAAATGGTTCCACATAATCAAAAGAAAAAAACCAACATAATAAACAAACTAAAAGTCAATGCATTCAAATGGGTTTCTGTAATCTTGTGCCAAGTCCAAGTGGAAATTAATATAGGGATGGGTGGAATACTATAGTCTGGGAAAAAGGTAAACCTCCAAAGGGATAGAAAGAGATCGCTCAAAAGCGGCAAGAGAAAGAGAGATGATCAAATCCTAAACTTAGGACGAAGCAAGAACTAGAGTTGTTGGCAAACTTCAAGAAGAGCTTGCAATTAGTATTTATTTGGAAAGCCACACAAGAATTTCCCCCAATAGGGATGAGGAGTTCCTAAAAAGTACTGAATGTAGTGAACAAACTACGAAAGGAAACCCAAAATGGGTATTAGAAGGTATCCTGAATAATAAAACAGAACTCGGTTCAATATTGGTGAAAAATATACAGGTTCAAGCTTAAACATCTGGTTATAATAAGTTTTATGAGAATAATGACTTCCAAAAACATCATTTTGGTAAGACAATGCAGACAAGGAACTGCCTCACGATCCTCACTTTGACTTGCTGCTCTGGTCCTGATGGTAAGACATTAATTTGTGTAAGTACACACTGTATTGTTGCTAAAAGTATGGTTTGACATACGATCACTTTAAACTTCTAAAACCAAGCCTCAAACCTATATGGCACCTTTGGTTCTAGTATGAACCTAGGCTTGACAAAAAATAGCCCAGTCTCCAGTAACTCGAGCCTGATCATTTCACTTAAGGTACAACAGTAACAAGAAAATCGTCTGTCCAGCCAAGTTCATGGACCTATTGAAATATTACTTGTCACTCAGAATTTTTTCTTTCCAATTGCCTGATATCAAAATATTTGACAACCAAGCAAGAGACTCTGAAAATATTCTCATCAAAAAGACTCTGAAAAGGTTCTCATCAAAAAGAATCTGAAAAGGTTCTCATCAAAAAGACTCTGAAAAGGTGCTATAAAATATTAAAAGTGAACTATCAAACCCACGTAAGATAGATAGTCAAGAGTAACGCAAAGGATAAACAATATCACAGTTACCTTGGTGTAGAGATTGATAAGACATCCATAACTGATTATTGATGGAGTAAAACCACATTCCTACAACAGCAATTCAATGTTAGTACACTGGACCAGAGCAAGTAGCATAAACAATTGCAAACAAATTGATTATTTCCAGCAAGCCTTGCATAATTTTTTTTCAATAGAAAACAAAAAATTTTACAAGTATGTAAAAATTATAAATCCTATCTAAGGTGGTTAAGACATCCAACCCAATGATAGGTGAAGTCAAACATCACAAAAGCAAAATTAATGCAATATAATCATGCTACATCCCACACGTGGCTGTACAACAAGCATTAATACATAAAAAGGTGGATATTAGCAAATTCCTTCGAGACTGATACCCAAAAAGAAGCCAAAAAGAATATACGGTCCCATAAGTTTTCCTCCTCCTCACTTTCGTATCAAAGATCCTCGCATTTCTTTCAACTAAATCACCCAAATAGTAGCAAAAAAAAAAGGACACCGCCAAAGAGTCTTCATCCTTCTATTTCCTCCCAAACTCGTAGAATTCAAACTAATAATTGAAGACATTGACTCGGTGCCACCCAATAAAATCCCACAACATTAAACAACTTGTTCGAAAGAGAGAACGTTGTTGGAAATTGCAAAAATAAATAGTCCACACTCTCACCATCATTTCTACAAATTACACACCACTACTGAAGAAAAAAAATCTTAGGTCTCCTACTTTGAAAAACATCACTAGTGATGATCTTCCCATGGCCAATCAACCAATTCATAAAGATGCACCTTTAAAGGCACATTGGCCTTTCCAAATCCTCAATGATGAAAGAAACAAAGGAAGAGTAGTATCATCAATTAACGATTCAAGGAACAATTTACATAAAAACACACCCAGTGGGTCAATATCCCAATATCTCTTGTCAAGTTGATTTTGGGTTAAAGAAACACTACTAAGCAAGGAAATAAGTACTATCAACTCCAAACATTCTCTATCGTTAAAACTCCTACGAAATCCAGAGTCCGAAGAAACGGGTAAGAGGAAGACTACACACGTTTGACTCCCCATCCTAAGTATCTTCACAAAAACATACTCTCACCCCATCTCCCACAATAAGCTTAATCTTTTGAGTAAAAGAAGATAACCCCTAAGAAATAAATTTCCACGGACTTCAAAAACTTCCTGTTTCAATCTCATTAACATCCCACCTATTAGCCGATAAACCATATTTGCTCCAAATAACCGAGTGCCACAATAAATCTTACTCCAAAGGGAGCCCCCAAAGCTATTACAAACGAAAGCTATGTTTTTTCCAACAAATTCCAATCGACAAACCCCCTTCACTTTGGGCCTAGTCATAATCTGCCAACAAATCAAGTGATCATTTCTACCCTGTTCACCCCTTCCTATAAGAAATCTCTCATCAAACTTTCAATCTTATTAGCAGCCATACACAGCATTTGGAAAAGAGACATGAAATAAATTGGTGTACTAGACAAGACGGACTAAACCAAGGTTAATCTACCATTGGATATAAAAGTTTTTTCCCATCCATCTAATCTTTTCCCAATTTTGTCTATAACGGGATCCCAACAAGACATAGACAATACATTGTCTTCTAAAGGGAGACCTAAATACTTTAAAGGCCAACTACCCACTAAGCATCCCAACTCCAAAGACAACTTGTCAATCTTTTGCTTACTAGAATAGATACCCACAATTAAACTCTTCTCCCTATTAGCAAGCCTTAAATAATTGGGCTTATACCGTGGGGATGCCAAAGTAGAAGCCTCACGAAATCTTGACAAAACCTTGGCTCAAATTAAACAAACAAGGATAGCACCCATTCTTTAGAGGCGAAAAGAAAATGCATGGATAGCATCCATTCTTCAAACATGATTGATAACAATCCGTTATTGGACAGGCAACGAATGAAAGCCAGCCATTGAATTTCTTTGGCTTGTATATAGATGAGATGATTCCCCTCTCAAGAACAAGGATCAAAATGTCGTGTCGACACGTCCGAAACGTCCGAAACGTTTCGAAATTTCAACACTCCGAAACGAAACAGTAGTTGAATCACAAAATTCCAGTGTTTCGGTCGAAACGGTACTGTTTCGGACCGTTTCGATCGAAACGGCATTGTTTCGAACCGTTTCGATCGAAACAGGACCGTTTCGACAAAACAGTGATATATTCGGTTTATTATGATTAATTATATTTAATACCCCATTATAATTACATTTAATACCCACTGTAATTACATTTAATACTTACTATAATTATATTTAATATCCCACTATAATTACATTTAATTCCCACTGCTCTTCTGTCTTTTATAATTTTTTTGTTATAAGAATAAATAATTACACTTAATACCCTACTATAATTATATTTAATACTCATTATAATTATATTTAATACATACTGTAATTATATTTAATACCTCACTGCTGTGCAAGTTTTTTGCTTTTTTTTTTTGTTATAAATATTAACAATTACATTTAATACCCTAATGTAATTATATTTAATACCTACTGTAATTACATTTAATACCCACTGCAATTACATTTAATTTTTAAGTATACATAAGTATCATTAATTTAATTTGATACCCTTCATTATTAGTATTATAATAAAATAGTATTATTAATTGGATTATATTACCGTAATAATATGATTTGGAGTAACTATTGTCATCATATTTATGTCACATATGGAGTTTCTCTAAGTAGCTACCCAGAGCCTACACCGATATATGAGTCTGCTCGACACTCCACAGGGGAATGGATGTAACCGTGTAAGTATGTACTCATTAGCATTTCATGTGTATTATAAAACCTTAATATTATGTAAAAATGTGTTTATTTCATAAAAATTAAGTGTTTGAAACTAATTTAAGTGACTTTCGCCTCAAGTCAAGCCTTTTTTCCTCAAATTTAAATTTATTCTTGTATAAATTGATGTTAACCTAATAAATATGTTGAATTAATAAATTATTTAGCATATCTTTATAAATTAATGGATTGCATTTGTGTTTCTATGCGTTTCCATATTTTTTCTGCGTTTCCATTGCGTTTCCGAAATGTTTCCGAAACGTTTCTATTTTTGAGTTGACCGAAACGGTACTTCGAAACGAAATTTTGATCCTTGCTCAAGAACTTAAACTTAAAGTACCGCTTGCATTTCTTTTACAATTGTGTAATCCTCTTCTTATCCAGATATTAGATGAACCCCCAAATTGCATCGCATATGAAAGGAATAAACCGGGCTGCATATAAAGATAACTAACTCAGAAACAACACACAATGACCAAATGTCATTTGTGTCCTTAGCATGTAGATGAAAAATATATATATATATATATATACACACATACCAAGTCAAAATCTTCAAGTACCGCCTGCATTAACAGTCACATAATTTTTTAACTGCCAAAATTTAAAATACATGTAGCTTAAAAAAATGTACAAACCAAAGATTATGCGAAAACAATCAAAGCATGTTCACATTACACACACTCAGAAGGAATAAACTCCAGCTTTCCAAAGGTTCTCAGTAATAGAACTTTAGTGTGTGTATGCACCTTGAGTCTGTCAAACACAACCAGACATTTGTCTTCATTCCCGATCATCGTATATCCATCCATCATGGTGTGATATATATCAATCGGAGCATCAATACCATCTTCTTCCATCTCCCTTACCAGGGCTTCAGCCTGGTCCATATTAGACGATTGACTGTTTTAAAAGAGCATATTTGTAAGAATACAAAGCGTCATTGCATAATATAAAGGAGGCATCAACAAAAGCTTTAAAATATCCTTTACTGACACCACATTTTTGAATCCAATATCCTTTTTATCGATTTGTACCCCTAATAATAAATAAATATAAATATAAATACAATCTTAAGACCCATGACTCTCCATTTGCTTCCTTTTCATAATCGGTTCCATCTTTGGACATAACAAAACTGTAAAAAGGACAGGTGTTTCTTTTATTATCAGTCCACAATTGAGAAGTTCACAGAGATTTCCTACAAAACTATGATAAGACAATCCATCTTGGTTACAAATCAAGCATCTCACCTATTCAATTAGTGATCATGACACAGGTACTAAGGTCCACCACCTAGAAATAAGTCCCCCCAAGGCAAATCGCTCCTACTGGTTGCCTCTCATTCAGATGCTTCTTTGTCCCAATATCATGACCTTAAGTCAGACAATGAGTTTCTTAGAGCAAAATCTATTTTGACTCCCAACAGTACCAAGACTTATCGTGAATAATCTTGCGGCACTATTAGTTGCAACGCTTAATTACGTTGATAAGTACATGGATGGCCATTTTGAATCTTACGCCCTCATCAACAACAGCAATTTTAGGAGCAAGGCAAAGCTATATGTGAATGTACTCTCTGGCAGCCATTGTTTGTATGAGATGAATCAACTAAATAAAGCTTGCAATACAAACTAGTGGGAATATCAGATCACTGCAACAAAGTCTGAGGTTGCATGCGAACAAAGTATTGGGCTTCGAAATCTTGGCTCCAGTAGATATGGAGCCAGGAAACTAGGTTTAAGCAAGCTCAAGCAGAAGTTGACTGATTTCCCAGACATTCATGCTCAGCTTGTGTCCTTATAAAAGCCACTACAAACTAATAACAATTTTTCCACTCATGATAATGAGGAGGATGACGACAACAAAAAATAAAGATGATAATGACAAAGATAAGTAACTAACTTAAAAATGATAAAGATCAACAACTACAAGTACACCAACAGGAACAACCGTCCACCAAAAATTCATCACACCTCCAATAGTTGTAGATCCAATTTCAAAAAAATAAAAATAGTAAAAGAAAAAGGCGAATGATGCAAAAGTAAAAAGGTGACACATGTAAGAGACCCGACCTAAGCATGTGATTATGCATACCCCAACTAAAGTAAGAGGGATGCATTTTGTAGATGGTCATTGCTGCAGCATTTACACATTATCCTACTCCAGAAAGCAATGAGGGTCGTTTTCAGACATGAATTAACATCATGTGATGGCGGACTTCCCTTTCTATAATTTTAAAGGGCACTATTACGTCTCACACTCAAAAAGTATCTCCGCCTTCTTCAAGCCCACAAACTGGGGTACATTTATCATTTTAAATTTTTGGCTCCCCTAGATAATATACTAGATAATGAAGACTGGGCATGTGCATGAAAATTATGCAAACAATTTTCTCTAAGAACACTGCTGAGCAGAAATATCCTTTTAACCAAACAAATAGACAAGCATGCATATCAAGATATTTAAATGGGTAGGAGACTTGGTAAACTGACCACCCAAGACCAAGCTCTGATATCAAGGATCTAATCAAAACAAATTGACAATGAGTGGAGAGCCCCCGTAAGAATATAAATCAACCTTCGGTGGCCCTAATCATTTGATGAGGGATAAAAGCACTTTTTACAGTGACGACTCCTAAAACTCAAACACCCTTTCCAAGGAAAGCAAGGTTGTACTTAATGGGCGAGTAGACAAGGTAAATTATCCGTAACTATGATTAAATGATAGGTCTCAGGCAACATACAATACTCCAAAAATTTCAACACAGTGTCACTTTCTGTTTAAATAATTAGTTCAAATCAGCTCCCACAATACTCCTCACATTAGAAAAATATATTAGCTAGTATCATAGATTCTATTTTTTAGTAAGAAAATTTCATTCAAAGACTCCAATGAAGTGTCTCCTAATTACATTGTCCCAAAGGCCATACAAACAAAGATGGGTCCATCTCCTCCAAGAACTAAAGAAAAGGGCCTAAGGGAAGCCCTTCACCCAAAGATAAAGAACATCCAAAAGTGATTTAACTTATCTTGATACCATTGCACCCCCAACACCGGCTCCTTAATCAATGACCACATCTTCCGTGCAACCAGGAAGACTAACAGAAGCTTACAGAGTCTTCATTTAACAAATATCTATCATCTACTTGAAATTTGAAAGCCCCTTGAGTTATCCAACATAAGAATGGATCCCCATGTTTCTGTCCACGCAAAGAAGGTAACCTTGGATGGAGCCTTAGTCTTCCATATCCCCATCCAAGGACAGGAATCTCTTCTCTTGCCATTCAACAACCAACAGAAGGACACAGAAAATCTCCTGTTCCTCTCCCAAGTCCATCTCACCATGTCACAACCTGACACCCCACTTCCACCCCTGCAACACCTCCAAGAAGATCTGCGAACACCTGAACCTCCAATCAAATAAATCCCTCCTTAAAGGATGTTGCGACACCATGTAACTTCACTCCTTGATAGACACTCTCCAGCTGATGCTTCCTTGTTGGAAGCCATGCTGAACAGTGTCAAGAATCTACGTCTAAGTAAATCCTCTACATCTCACTTATACTGCCAAAATCTCACTCTCCACCCTTCCCCATACTCCAAATTGAATAGGAGTCAAGAACTCCACTCCACCACCTCCAAAGCCTCTACTGAAGCCCTTCCACCCCAGCAGGACTCATGCCTCTCATTCACTATCCTCCTCCATAATGCTCCTTCCAATATTATTGGAAACTAACCCCTAATTAAAACCTTCTACAACAATTATCAGTATTATTACCACCTCTGCACTCCACACCTGATATATAAGAAAGAGTTTTTGGCTAGAAGAGTAAATTAAGCAAAGAAATTCACCCAAAAAAATGAACAGAAAGAAAACGCACCAATGAGCATAAATAATGTTCCCATATATGATTGCATTCAAGCTTGTATGTCTCTCTTTGGCCTCCTTAAACCATTGATCTGCAGCTCTTCCAAGACAGCAGAAAGAAATTAGATAAGAACTAAAAAATTGCATTGAACAGTTGTCAAAATATAATATAACTCAAAACAAAAATGGCTCCAAAGCTATTATTATAGATTTGATGAAATGGATGGACACTACACCAATAATGAAGCTGACATTTTTTTAGTCCGACTTTCTCTATGATATCTGGAATTTAAAGTAGGGAAAGAGATCAAGCAATGTAATATTGCTACAATAAGTGAACGGACACCATGCAGGCTAAAGTTGTAAGTTGCTTAAACCAATATTCTTACAAGATGGAGCCAAGATTTTTCCCTTAAGGAGGCCAAATAATGATGGAAATAGAAATTTTTAATCAATGGAAGGTCATTTACTGATCTATTGCTAATATTAAGTATCTAGTCATATAGAATCTATTACGTAATCGATAATTTAAGCTTTATTTTATCACATAATCATTCAAGGACAACTAATTTCATTACGTCTCTGCAAATTATGAAAAGCAGAATAAAATGAAATAGAGAATGTACAGACCACTAAAATACATATTTTACACGGATTTGGAACCCTCTATATGTAGGTTTGATAATTATATTGTGTCCCTTAAACTATGATCTTGGTTTAACTTTATCCATCGGCTACTGATTCAAATATATTGCAACAGTAATCATTCAAGAGGTGATATTTCTACAATTGTTAAATTTGGATTTGCACTAAGCATTAATTTTTGGACAAATATAATCCACTGGACTATTTGGAATGACTAATGGTACAATAAGTTTGGTCAAAATTTGATGGATAAAAGAAAATCAAAATCATACACTAAGGATATAAATTATAAACTTGAAAACATTAGAGGGCCAGGCATCACCTCCCTAGCCATACCATGGCTACTTCAATGCTTACAACTATAGAAATCTTGAAGTGAGCTTTTTGGTGAAGATCAACAACAGCAAGAATCTCATAAGCAGATAGAGGAAATCAATTTCTATGATAACTTTGTATCATATATTATTAAGCTCCAAAAAAATTCATTGCTCAAAAATAAGTACATGATCATTTCAATAAGAACAAATTTTGGCCAAAACTGCAGATTAAATTTAATGGAGAAGATAACTAATCACAAATGGGACATCTACAAAATCCTAACGTATCAAACTTACTTAAACATGATATTGTAAAAGGGTTAGACACAGAAAATAGTAGGTTCTTCAGTATGCCAACTGCAAAAGAGCACTTGATGCCCAACATATATGCTTTACTCACTCAACATTGCCGACTTTTGCAAATCCCCAAACAAGAATACTGTAAGTCACCAAAGTCATCTCGATTTCTTCATCTTTCATTTTCCTCACACACGATAGTGCCTCTTCCATGTCTCTGCCTACTGCATATGCATGTATTAGGCTGCATAAGATAGACAATTATTAATGCGAAAAAATGGAGAGTCCAAAATTAATCCTTTAAGCCAAGAAGAATACATTGGGTAAATGCTTAGGTATTTTTTATGATACTCAATTCACATATCCTATGTTCAAAAAAAAAAATTCACGTATCCTTGTGTTAGTATTAAAATATTCTTGAAAGTGCCAAATATTTGGATAAGTACTATGGAATTGCTAGAACATCCAACTCCAAAGCAATTGGCAATGGGCAGAGCGGCCACTCAGTAATAAAAACCAACTTTAGTGGTCCTAATTATTCGACGTGGAATACAAGCTCTCCTAACAGGAACAAACTGAAAGTAATCAAAAACTTAAGTACAAAATCTAGATCCCACAACTTTTCTTATATTCCATGGCAAAAGTGGTTGATCCAGTAAAAAAGATCGATGGGATCACTAAGTTAAGCACAGTCTACAATTAAGAGCAATTTCTCAAACAATCCAGCTATGTAGGACAAGCAACTAGCTCAAACTTTAGAACTAGAATACGAAGTGATAAGTGTGTATTTAAGGAACAATATAGAGACAAGGTACTTACTTTGTATACACATGAGAGGTTGGTTCTATCCCCCTGGCACGCATGCTCTCAAACACTTCACGCGCACGATGCATGTCCCCTCGCCTTGCATAATAATTCACCATCAACCCAAACTCTTTTCTGGAAGGCTACTAGGATTAAATTTCACCGGTAAGATAAATTATCAATCCTCTCAGAATCACAACCCAAAGCTTCAATTTACAACTGGTTAAACATGATTATGCAAGCAAGCAATATAATAGTATATACAAAAAGTCTGGTTTCAAAGACAATGGACTATACTTCAACCGTGAGGATGGTGTATGAATGTACGAATGTGAAAGGAAGAAGCAAAGTGTTATTCTCGCAGATATCATAGATCATCCTTTTCTTCTTTGATACTTGATAGAAGACAATAAGAATAGAACCACCGACACCCCATTCCCCGACAATCTCCAGTACCTTACTAATGTTGTTTTTTTTTTTATAGGAGACGAAAAAGTTTATTGATAAAAAACAAAAAGTGCATCAAAAACAATTTGATAAGAAATTCAACCAATAAACTAGAAAAAGCAGGCCACCGAAAAAATAGGTAGATAAACAGTCTACAAATCAAATGAAGCTATCCATCTCTCCAAAATAGCAAAGAACGGAATTCCTTTGAAATTATAAGTAATCGAAGCCCAAATTGATGCAATAAAATGAATGTGGTCCCATAAACCATCCAAACCTCAATTTGATGTTCAAAAATTCTTGCATTTTTTTTTCCTTCTAAATAACCCACAAAGAGCGATAATAGCACGATTCCAAAGAGTAACGCCCTTATCACATCTCCCAAGACCTTTCAAATCTTCAATGAACAAGGATGTAGATGACTCACGTATCACCCAATTCAAACCCACCAAACTAAACAACTTATACCACAATGACAAAGTGATAGAGTAATGTGAATATAAATGATCAATGCTTTGAAAATCACCTATCACCTTCGTATGTCACACACCATTAAGGGAAGAGACAAGAATGAGATCTCCTCTTTTGAAGTATATCAGCAGTATTAATCTTACCATATACAACGGTCTATACAAAAACTTACTCTTTTCTAAGCATTTTAACCATCCAAATCATCACTGCAAGGATAAAAAGAGGGCAAGAAGAATCATCAATAAGAGATTTAAAGGTGATTTTATAAGAGAAAACACATGAAGGCTCAATAACCCACCTTCTTCTATCACACAAACCTTAACTCAAAAATGGATTCTTAAGCATTCCAAAAAAAAACAACACCACCTCCCTCATATCTCTATCATCAAGATTTCTACGAAATTCGAAGTCCCAAGAATATAGTTGATTATAAGACTGAAGCAAAGCAGTAGTGGACACGCCATGATAGAAGATAAATTATAGAAACATGGAAACAAGTAGGACAAGGATGACTCACCCAACCATGTATCTTCTAAAAACAAACTCTCACCTATTACCCATAACAAACATAAGATGTTGGAAAAATCTCGTCAATTCTTGAGATATGAATTTTCACAAGCATCGCAAACTTCTTCTATCAACCCTACAAATGTCTTGTCCATTGGGCCTGTATTTTATACTTGCTCTTAATAACTAAAAGCCATAGAGAATTTTGTTCCAAGGCAAACCTCCAAAGCTACTTACCCAATAAAAAAATATTCCTTGCCTTCAAATTTTCAATTGCATGACCACTTTTATCCTAAAATCTAGAAACCAACCTTCCCAAGGATCGAAATATCGTTTCGGAGTACCGTTTCGGCTAGCTCGAAAACGAAAATGTTTTGAAATTATAGAAAAAATATGAAAACATGTGAAAACACAAATACAATCTATTTATTTATAAAGATAAGCTTAATAATTGATTAATTGAATATGTTTATTGGGTTAATATCCATTTATACAAGAAAACATCAAGTTGGAAGAAAAAAAAAGACTTGACACGAGGCAAAATTCAATTCAATTAGTTTCAAACACTTAATTTTCATCAAACAAACACATTTTTACATAATGCCTAGGTCTCATAGTACAAATGAAATGCTAATGAGTATACAACTACAAAGCTACATTCATCTCACCGTGGAATGTCGAGCAGACTCATACATCGGCATAGACTCAAGGTAGCCAATTAGAGGAACTTCATATATGATGACGATAGTAAGTCCAACTCATATTATTACGATAATATGAATCATACTCTGTCCTAAACCTCTGATAGTCCTCAACACTACATTCAATCTGCTGGAAAACAAATGCACTAGTCCCTGCTCATCCTTCGTCTTGTCTATATGAGGAGGATGTTCGAGAATCATGGCTAGATCCATAATCATATGTTGAGAATCCATATTCGTATCTTCGTGAGTCATACCCCGATCCATAATCATATGAAGGAATGTCATATCCAGATCCATAATGATAACCATATGAAGACGACAAAACATAATTATGGTGTTCATTTCCACTTCCACTTACACTCATAGGTTGGTTGCTTCACACTAACCTCATCGCTTTTTCTCACACGAGTGGAAATCGAGAAAGATCAGATTTCACGGCTCTCTTGCGGGATGGAAGTGGGCCTCCGTGAAGGCTACTTGAGATGCCGCCTCGTTTATGAAGCACTACTTTGGTTTTTTGGAGCCTAATATACGTATACGATACGAAAAATCTCCCCCTTTTTGAATTAGAGAGATTGTATACGCCTGTATAAAAAGGAAGGCCGGGATAGATTCAGTGAAGCGTTAGTACACTTCACACTGACTATACCGCCTTGAGCTCTACTGAATCAAATGGCTTTTTTTGTTGAAGGCTTCAAGAGTGACATAGTAGAAAAACCATCATTAATCATATCAACTCCATGCCTATTAGCATCCATACCATATGGAGTAATCAAATTTTGAGTACGCTTACGTCGACAATTTCAACTTGAGCACTGTTAATATTAAAGCATTTGTCAAGAGCTATGATCCTTATCTTGTATAGCATGGACAAATCCTTCTTCTATAATAAATACAACTCCATGTGGGTTTTGGCTCCCCATACCTCTACCACCACCACCACCTCCACTGTCACCATCTCCACAACCACCACCACAATCATCATCATCATTTTGACCTCTATTATCATTGCTACCATCACCATTATAATCATCATCAATACTACTAGTGAGAGTGACAAGTTGCTTACGTTTTGGGGACCTCTCAATAGTCTCTGAAACTCTTCATCATCAATTGATGAAGTAATTTTTGTTGTTTTACGAGATCTTTCTCCACTTACTTTGGATCTTAGTTTCCGTGGTGGCACAACACTGACTTTGGCCTACTCTTCCATCATCATCAGAAAAATGATTTGCCCATGTTGCCATGAAAGAGTATGGTCTTTGTTGATTGTCCATCATCATCAAGTTCATCTAAAAGTGCATCACCAGGATCATCTAACCACTCTGAAATACCTTCATCTTCCTCAAAAACAGTGGTTAAGTCTATAGGTCTGAATTCGTACCCTTTTTTTCTCTTTCGTAAAGTGCTTTAACTAAAGCCTCATGTTGTACTATGCAAACACCAACATTTTCAATTTTTGACAATTGAGTTAATTATGCACTTTAGTATGAATGAGAGAAAATGTTCTCCAATTTCTCTCACAACCACTAGATCAGATTGTTTGCGAATACTCTCATAGCAATCTTTCTCAAATTAGGAGCATCAATGTCATACATAAACCACCATTCATCTGCATAATAATAAAAAAACATCTTTTTTTTTGGGTAATAATAATAAAAAAAAATTTAAATTACTTCGATCACTTTTTGGTTCTTCCCCTAATTGCAGCTTGGTCAGAAAAACAATACATGACCTCTCGAAACATTTTTACCTAAATATCATGAATATGTTGATGTTGTATATTAAAATAATACACTCTTAAAATGAGATCGAAATACTGAAGTAGTACCTCTCCCAGTGCTTGAACAGCCTTGTTTAGATTTATCCCTAATCTGGACACGACGATCCAAATCAAACCTAACAAACTTTTTAACACACTAACATCTTCTTCATAATGGTATGCAAGGTTCAAGTAATAAGCTACACAATATACTCTCTATAAGTTAACTTGTGTCACATCCAAAATAATAATACTTATAAATAATAAAAATAAATATTATTAAACAATAAGTTTACCAGTCACATAAATATAGTGATTGATTTGTTTCTTCCATCGAGTATCAATGATGTCAAGATATTTCTTATGAGATTTAGGAGTCAGGTCTTCTTCATATACATATGGCATTATAATTTTTCTTTCCTCATCCACCATTCTTAGAACTCTAACAATAGGTGTAAACATATTCACCACCTTTTTGACGTTCTCCCAAAACTTAAGATTTAGAATTGTCCCATCTGCTCTCTTTCCAACTGGATCCTTCTCTGCCACAGGATTACATTAATCTTCTGAAGTAAACATCTTTTGCAAACCATTTCTCTGCTCCAAAATATTTTGTGAGATAATATAATTAGTGACAAATCTTGTTTGTCCAGACCGAATCAATTTCTCCGAACAAAATGTTATCATTATATCTAAAACTCAGCTGTGATCATAAATAAAATTGATTATTCTTTTAGCTTGTTCTAGCACATTTTAAATCGTTTTAAATTTGAAAAAAATTACGAAAAATCACATCTAGGGAGTTGACAGCACAAGGAGTCCAATATAAGAGTCGTCTTCTTTCCATCAATATTTCACCAGTTTTTGTATGCACTACCATTGTCTGTAATAATTTGAACCACATATTTCTCGCTAATCTCCTCAACTACAATATTCATCAACCCCAAAATATAATTAGTATCCTTGTCATGGCTAAAACTACCAATTGACTTGTGGAAGACAATTTTTCCATCACAATATGTCAAGAAGTTAATGATAAATAATTTTGTGGTCGATGTCCATCAATCACACGTGATTGTACCTCCGTAAATTTCTCACTTTTTTTTAAACTGATCAATGTATTATTTAAGTTCATCTATCTCATTATTAGTAATGGTTTGCCAACCCTATATAGGGTTGGGTCTTGCACACCCACTCTAGCTAAAACAATTCCATCAATCATCAATTGGTAAAAATAACTGAGCTTTGTTTGGTGGAATATTTTCATAAATAAAATATTTTACAATAACATGTTTTGTCGACTTCGCCCACCTTTTGGGATTCCACATATGAGTTAACTTGGTTTACTTGACTTTCCTATTCTGATACATTGCAGGATAAATCTCTTCAATTGTGAGATCTTTTCTTTTGCCCATCAATTTTTGTGATTATATTGAGAATTTCTCTCAAATTTCCTTCAACTTATGTCAACGCGTCAAATCCTTAGATGTATCACCTTTTTGGGTAGATGATCTAAAACTTCCTCCTTTAAAACCCTACTCGGCCATATGTATATCACGAATAGATTCTTGTTTTGCATACTCAATATCAGCTCTCTCTTCTATATTCATACCATCATCTCAGTACTCATGAGAAGAATAAATTTCGATAACACTTCTCCCCCTTGATCCACCAATTAAATTTTGTCTCATTTTTTCCCATTCAGCAGTCACTTCAACACTTTCATTCTTATTAGATTCAAGTGATCCATTATAGCTCTTGAAATTTTTAAAGGACACCTCTCACATTGTTCTACATTATTATAATCATCTGTCAAGTGTTGTTTTAAACGTGACACACCACCACCCTTCATTATTTTATGACAAAAATTGCACATCACATGTTGTCAATTCTCCCCAATTTGTTCACCATAATTCCATTCAATATCACATTTTTTTTCTTTTTCTAGGTTGATTCAGTAACCACATTCTTCCCCTTTGATATCATATCTACAATAAATACATTACATTATCAAACATATCATATTCATACTTCAAATTAAATATGACATGAATACCACTGTTAAATTAAAATGAGTACAAATTTAGTATTTGCAAGCTATTATAATACTAATTTACTAATTTAAATTGTCATCAAATTAAAAATTAATATTATTTTATTAATATTAAAATCATTGCACAAACAAATTTTGCACACATAAATATTTAATTCTAGAGGTTTAATAAACAAGGTATA